GCCTTCCGCAGGGCGCCTTTGGGCGTACGCCGCTGTACAGAGCCGCCTTCGGGGGCCACCTGGAGGCCGTGGAGGTGCTCCTGAGGCTGGGAGCCGACCCCCGGGTGTACGCGGACGATGGGAGCACCCCGGTGCAGGTGGGAGCACCTTCCCCACGGGCTGGGACTGGTGGCCTCGCTTTAAAAAAAATTTTTTTTTATTGATTTTTAGAGAGGAAGGGAGAGGGAGAGGTAGAAACGTCAATGAGAGAATCATTGATCGGCTGCCTCCTGCGTGCCCCACACTGGGGATGGAGCCCGCAACCGACCGGCAATCAGACCTGCCTCTCGGGTCCCTCAACCGCTGAGCCACGGCCGGGCCCACGTCCTTCATTTCTTTAAGCGACTCTGACTTGCAAGCAGGCCACCTCCCACCCAAGTGACTGCGAGGCAACAGGAACATATACCCACAGCGAAGAGCAAATGCAATCCCAAATGACAGCAGTGACACAGGGGGCGCACTGTTACCGCCCACCCCGAGCCCCTTGTTCACAAGGTGTCAGTCTGTGCACTCAGCGCGACATCTTTCACCCTCGCGGCCATCGTGAACCACCCTTGATCTATAATTACTCTATAACCTATAATTATAGTTAATTCAAACATCCATCCCTCCATCGATACACACACTGCTGCTGTTGGCAGAGGTTCTGGGAAAGCAGGGACCGTGTTGAGTCCACAGCTCTGTTCTCCAGTGTCATACATCTTGGTTGTCACAGAAAAGAGACCCCAAATTGTTTTGAACCTGCCCGGCCAGTGTGGCTCAGTGGCTGAGCATCGACTTGTGAACCGGGAGGTTGCGGTTTGATTCCTGATCAGGACACATGCCCGGATTGTGGGCTCAAGCCCCAGTGGGCCTCGTGCAGGTGGCAGCCAATCAATGATTCTCTCTCATCATTGCTGTTTCTATCTCCCTCTTCCTCTCTGAAATCAATTTAAAAATATATTTCATATATAAATAAAGTGAACAGTACAGCACGTTCTCCCAGGCTGCATAGAACCAGCCCCTGACCGGACCCCTCACTAGGTGGCCTCGCTGGACGCCGTGGCCAGCGTGCTGCAGGCCTGGGACCTGAGCCTCACGGAGGCCATGCTCCAGAACGGGTGGGCCTGCGGGAGGAGGCCCCCCAGCCCCGACCCCCGCAGATGCTCAGACCCGGCTGTTCCCTCCCACCGCAGCCTGAACCTCAAAGTGCAGCAGCTGGCTAAGGAGCAGCAGCAGTGCCACAAGGAG